AATTATCAGTACAAATAACTTTTAAAATGTAAATATAAACAATATATATTTTTTATAGGGTTGTATGTCTGTCTTTACTCAAATGGATGAAGGAATGGATGAACCCGCTCTTTGGTCTCAGCAGCTCTTCATTGCTCTTGGTGAGTGGTTCTTTACTTCATTTTAAGATAGGATTTTTTTTACTGTTTGTATAACCGTAAATACCGATAATTTAACTTGTCCTTTTTCGCTTTCCTTTCATCCTTTCCTTCTTGCTTTTTTATCTGTTTTGTATATCTGTCTTTATCATTCTCTCATTCTGTGTTTCTCTCTCGCGCGCGCGCTCTCTCATCTCTCTCTTTCATTCTCTCTCTCTCTCTCTCTCTCTCTCAGGCTCTCACCATTCCCTCTCTTACTTTTTTCTCCCTCTCTCTGTCTCACCCTTTCTCTTCCTCATCCATCTCTCTCATTTGTTTTCCCTCTAACCCTCCTTCCTCCTTTCAGGCATAGTCCTACTCGGAGTCCTGGCGGTGCTCGGCGTCTCCTCGCTTCCCTCCGTCACCGCAGAACTCACCTGGAGGGAATTCAGCTTCCTGCAGCGTTATTTAGGGTGGCTTTCGGTCCTCCTCGTCACCGGCCACGCCTTCTTCAAGGGGTACAAGAAGTTGCTCGTACCGCGTTTCGAGTGCGCTGTTCTGGCGTCCGAAACACAGGTAAGTGATTCGAGACTTGTTTTATTTTTCGCGACGAGGTGGGTTGAATGATTGACTAGCGATTGATTGGTCGTGTGAAGGGATTTAGTTGGATTCATAAATACGAAATTTAAGATGTGGGTTAGGTAATATATCCATTGGTGTTTCCTTAAGTGGATTACGTCTGAAACACAGACAAGTGATTCGAGACTTGTTTCATTTGAACAGCTTGGGTAGGGGGATTTGTTTAATTAGTGTATGGTCGAATGAATCAATTTAGCTCGATTGATTGATTGGAAATTGAATTGTAGGTAAGATGATACATATCCATAGCTGTTTCCTTAAGTAGATGGTGAGTTATATTGTCATTTTTTTCTGTCCGATACACAAACACACAATAGACAAGAAACTGTTTCATTTTCACAGCTAGGTGGATTGAATGATAAACTAGTGGCTGATAGGTCAAGTCGATTGATTTAGCTGGATTGAAATATGGAAAATTGAAATGTAGATATACTGTATCCATCGATGTTTGCGTAAGTCGATAAGGAGTTAAGTTCGTTTGTTCGTCTTTCTACGTCTCGAACAGATAATGAAACAGAGGCAAGTGATTCGAGACTGTTTCGGCTTCTTTCGTTCGGATTGATTGGTTGATTAGGACTGATGTTTAGGATAGATGACCGCTGTATTGATTGAAGGATTGATTTTAGATATCTGGATAAAGAGAAGGTGAATTAAAGTGTTACATCTGTTGTTGTTTTTTTGTTTGTTTGTTTTTGTTTTGTTTTCTTCTACTGTCCGAATTACAAGTAAACAAACACGACAAACACAGTGGGAGATGAGATATCGTCTGAACAATGGCTTTAATTGTGAACAGAATAGAAAATTAATTATGTATATATCCGCCTTCATTTCTTTAGGGTGAATGAATGTTTGATATATAATCTACGTTCATTATTTATATAACTGACAAAATATGTTGAACGCAAGGGTTGGGGCAAAATCTGTGCTTGTTATAAAATTCTTGTTCATTAGTGGAAAATAAATTATGATAATATTAAGGATGATGATGTTAAGGATAATGGTAATGATAAGGATAATAACAATGGTGATGATAATGATGATATGGTAATAATGATAGTAGCAATGAAAATAACAGTAAAAATAATGATAATGTTAAAATGATAATAATGATAACAGTAATGAGAAGACTGATAATGATAATAATAGTAATTGTAATAATAGTCGTGATAATGATAATAACAGTAACAATAATCATAATAATTGTGATAATAATAATGATAATAGTAATAATGATAATCATAATCATAATAATCATTATAATAATATTAATGATAATGATAACGATGATGATAATCATAATAACAATAATAATTACAATTATAATAATAAAAATAATATGATAATAATGATTATTATTATTATTATTATTATAAATATTATAAGGATGATGCCAATAATAATAATAATATATTATTATTATCATCATAAATATCATTATGATGATGATAATAATAATAATGTTGTTAATAATAATAATAACTACAGCATGGTAAAGAATAAAGTATTAACTAAAAAAAAGAACCCCAGGCTTGTAATTGGCTATATACACACGAAACCCTCAACTAATGGTGCTCAGATATCCGACATTGAGGGTTGTCGGTAATGATCAGCTGTGTGCCATATCCCCTAATAAGACTGACTGATATGGCGTGGTAGTTCCTGGTCTCTGTATATGATATATACGGTGGGTTCTTAGAAAGTGGGTTTCTTCTTTATTGGTGTTCGCCTGTGTGGGTGTGGGTGTCGTCTCTATAATGCGCTGAGTTGCAATTCATCTGTAGGTGAGGTGTTTGTCTCTCTCTCTCTCTCTCTCTCTCTCTCTCTCTCTCTCTCTCTCTCTCTCTCTCTCTCTCTCTCTCTCTCTCTCTCTCTCTCTCTCTCCCTCTCCCCCCCCCCTCTATCTCCCTCGTTCACTCGCTCATTATCCGCCGAGGTTGAAAAAAAATCCGCTTGGGTTTATTGATTACGTAATTTATTATGTAAACAGGCCTTTCTTCCGGGATTTTTTTCCTTGAAGCAAAGCGGGTTTTTTCCCTGACATTTTCTGTTTGTTTGCTTTTTGTTTTGTTTGTTTTTTGTTTTGGTTTTGTTTTTGTTTTTTTGTTTTCATCAAGTTGGAATAGTTATTTGTATGACTTTCATAGAATTTATGATTTTATCATGATGGAAAATTGTATTTAGTGATAGTAGTGGTATTAATGAAAACTATGTTATTGGCTAATGATAATAATGTTTGATAACGACAGGAAGAAGAACAAGAATAGTAATGTAATAATAAAGATAACGAAAAGGATACATTAATTAATCTTGATAATAATACGTATAATACTAACAAGATGAAAATGTATTTTTAATAATGTTTATAAGAACTGCGGTAGAATCAATGCAAAAGTAATAGTGAAAATAATCATAATAATATGCATGATGATGATGTGATGATGAGGAGGATAATAATGATAATAATAATGATGATGATGATGATGATGTGATGATGATGATGATAATAATAATAATAATAATGACCTAAACCTAGAAGAAATAACAACCAATTTTCAGTGCGCTTTTTTTTTTCTTTTTTACTTTTCTTTTCTTTTCTCGGAATCAAACTAAAACCAAATGAGTCTCCTGCCCTTTGGTGTGGTCTCGAAAATGTCACTTACGTTCAATAAAGAATATTAATGAGCGATGATGTTTTCCTTCTAGTGAAATGAAATCAGGAAATGATATTAACAATTTTCAAGTGTTTTTATTGTTATTATCAGTCATTATTACTATCAATATTATTGTCATTATCGTTATTATTATCACTTTCATCATTATCATTATCATTTTCATCGCCATCATTAATATCATAATCATCATAATTATCGATATTATCATCATCACCATGAATATCACCATAATAATCGTTATTATTAGCATCACTCATTATCATTATCACTTTCAATTTAATTATCGTTATCACCATCACTCATTATCACTATCACTATCATTATCATCGTTATCATCATCATTTCATAGTGTTTTTTTATACTTTGTACATCTGCCTAGAGGTATATATTTATCATTTACATCTTCTTTTTTAAATACTTAAAATCAAGTAAGGCCAAGGATAAAAAAAACATTATTTTCTAGGGATAGGCATTGTCGTGAAAAGACATTCATTGTTGATAAAAGTCTGATAAGGATAGTAGTAATTTTACATTCCAAAATTCTATTGCTTCTGCTCACAAAATGCAACTGCTCACAAAATGCAAAATATTATTACCAGACGCAAAACTGTATTCATCTTAGATACATAATACATTAACCGCCTACAATAAAGATACATCAGTTCTAGCTACAAATACCAGTCATCTCAAGATAAAAATAAATAAATAGATAACAATAATGATTATAATAATAATAACTGTATTGGTAATAACACTGATGATGATAGTAATGCTGACAAAATAATAACAATAATAATGATAATGATAATAATATTACTAATAATATTATTTATAAGGATTATTATGATAATACTAATGATAATTTTAATGATGATAATACTAATAATAATGATAATGATGATAATACTAATAATAATGACAATGATGATGATAATACTAATAATAATGACAATGATGATGATAATACTAATAATAATGACAATGATGATGATAATACTAATAATAATGACAATGATGATGATAATACTAATAATAATGACAATGATGATGATAATACTAATAATAATGACAATGATGATGATAATACTAATAATAATGACAATGATGATAATACTAGTAATAATGATAATACTAATAATAACAATAATTCCAGACACTTCACTATCATTCTTTTTTTTTTCTTTCCTCCAGATTATCGTATTCCTGTGCTTCCTCACCATCCTGCTCAAAGTGCCCCTCCTCATACCCTGCGTCCACTCACGACTCATGAAGGTCCGGCGGGGGTACGAGAGGATGCCCAACGGGTCGCCTGCCTAATGTTTTTTTTTTTTTTTTTTTTTTTTTTTTTTTTTTTTTTTTTTTTTTTTTTTTTTTTTTTTGAGAAAGAGGGGGATTTTTTTATGGAATGTTTTGAGAGAGGGAACGGCTGCCGTTTTTTGAGAAAGAGAAGGATTTTTTTTAATGGGATATTTTGAGAGAGAGGACGATTGCCTTCTTCTTCTTCTTCTTTTCTTCTTTTTTTTTCTTTTTCTTTTTCTTTTTTTTCTTTTTCTTCTTCCTTTTCTTTTGTTATGAGATATGTTGAGAGAGAGGACGATTGCCCTTTTTTTGAGAAAGTGAAGATTTTTTTTTAATGGGATATTTTGAGAGAGGGAACGACTGCCTTTTTTTCTTTCTTTTTTTTGTGTTTATTTCTCTCTCTCTTTAATGAAACGATTTCCTTCTGTTTCTGTGTTTGTTTGTTTTTTTCTCTTTTTTCTGTTTTTTTTTCTTTTCTTTTCTTTTTTTTTCTTTCTTTCTTTTTTCTTTTTTTTAGAACACGCTGAAGCCCTTGCTAAAAACGCAGAGATGGTTCACGGATATTTTCTTAGATATATTTTTCTTTTACTTATAATTAACAAACATAACCAGTAAGGATCTTAAACGTGAACAATAACCTTTATGATAAATAAACACGACCAGAGTCACAATTGAAGTAATGAACTGTATTCTAGAGTGATGTTACATTTTCGTCTTAAGTGGAGGTAAGTAACAGCGGGGTTTGATAAATATTAAGGTTTTATGTGATAGGAATCAGTCTAACTGTAGAAGGTTAACTGTAATCTCAAGTTAATGTTTAATATTTCATATGATACGAACCAGTTTGCTTATTGAGAATTATATGCAGATTATGTTCAGAACTATGAATTGTTTGTGTAATGTAAGTTCAACAGTCTAACTAGAGATAGTTAACTGTAGAATCATAGCACTGTATTTTTTTACGCGATATGAAACAGTCTAACTGTAGAAAGTTAACTGTAATCTCAAAATGACATCTGGCATTTTGTATGGCATGAACCAGTCTGACTATAGAGAGTTAACTGTAAGTGTGAGTGACGTAAGACTACAAAAATTAACTGTAGATTTAAGTACTTTAATGTCTTTTACGTGATATGACACAGTCTGACTGTAGAGAGTTAACTGTAAGTAAAATCATAATCATGATCTGTGATAGCAGTGTAACTGTAGATAGTTAACTGCAACTTCGAAAGCATTTTCCGTATAATCTCATAGACCAGTCTCACTACAGGAAGTGAACTGTAATCTGAAGTCTTTATATAAATTGTGCAGTCTAAATAAACACTTTAACTGCACACAATATAAAATAGGGATCTCTTATTAACAGTTGAGTTCGTGCAAGAGCTAACTGCTTGTACAAAATAGTTTAAAGTTTATTTGGTACAGTACAGGAGAAAGATATGTCATTCATAAGTTGTTGTTTTTTTGGATATATGTTACCGTGTGATATATATAGGTTTGCTTTATTAACAGCATGTGAGCTATATATATGATAAAAAAATATCTTTAACTTAACATATCATGAATACTTATTTGTGTCAAGTAATATAAATATACTGTTTATATCCATACGTATGAAACGCTCAAACTTTTCTTCATAAGAAAGAGACCAGTACTTATTTGTTGTTATATGATATTATTTTTCAAGTTAAATCTGTATGTCAATTTTATATCAGTTAAGAACATGAAATTAAACCATGTTATTGTACTGTACACTAGTATTATAATACACGTTGCACAGCAGGTATTTCGTTGTGTTATTATCCTTGATATTATTTTTTCTTTCCATTTATCATAGCTGTCATTTTTATTTTCATTTGTGTGTCTGTTCGTTTGTCTGTGTGTGCGTGTGTTTGTTTGTGCATATGTATGGTTTCATGTAGAGAGTGTGTGTGTGTGTGTGTGTGTGTGTGTGTGTGTGTGTGTGTGTGTGTGTGTGTGTGTGTGTGTGTGTGTTTTTTCATGCTGATACAGGTATTTTAATAGATATAGTTATTATTTTGTTTTATTTCTTCCTTTCCCAAAATTGTTTCATTTTCTTGGCCCATGAAAACGATTCTAAAGATTCTAAGCAAAGTGACCACATGCCTCGAATACCACAAGAAAGTTGTTAAGTGTTATTATTTTTTTTTCTCCTAGTTTCCACTTAGTTGTCATAGGCTGTTATATTCCGCCCCACCCCCCACCCCCCCTAGTTCTCATCTTTCCCCGTAGCTGTTATATTTACACCCCCTCGTTCTCATTTCCCCCCTAGTTGTTATATATACCCACTACGTTCGATTTTTCCCCCCGGCTGTTATATTTACCCCCCTATTTCATATATTTTCCCCTAGCTGTTATATTTACCCTCTAGTTCTCATCTTTAGTCTTAATTGTTATATATACCCACTACGTTTCCTCGATTTTCCCCTAGCTGTTATGTTTACCCTCGTACTTCACATGTTTTCGTCTAAATGTCATGTCATTTCGTCTAAATGTCTTTCGCCCAGTTATAATTTTTTCCCCATAGTTGTTATTTTTTCCTCAAGTCGTATTTTTCTCTTAGCTATTTTGTTTTCCCCTAGCAGTCATACAATTCCCCTGGCTCTTATGATTTCCCCGTCTGTCATACACCCCCCCCCCTAGTAATCATGTTTCCCCTACGCCTAATTTTTCACTGTTTTCACATTTTTTTTCGCCAGCTCTCATGTTTTCCCCTAGGTGTTATATGTACACCCCTAGTTCTCACGTTTTCC